TGGCGAGATCACCGAGGTAGGCGAAATAGGAGGCAGGCTAGCAGGCAGGACAGGAGAGACAGGCTGGCAGGCAAAACAGGAAAGGAGGAGGTTACAGGCAGAAGGGAACAGAGGAGGGAGGCCGGAGGAAGAAGACGCGCGGGCAGTGCTATATCCAAAACGAGAACCTATCGCAGGAGGGTTTAAAGAGGATGAGGAGGAGGAAACGTTTGGGAACTGTGCGATCAAATGGGTTACCCAGCTGCGCTGCGCAACCGCAAGGAGCTGCAAGTCGTGGCGCGCGGGCGAGTCACCGAGACTACACCTCTGCCGGCGCCACTCGCGACCAGCACGGCTCAGCTCGTGAAGGAGGGGAAGAAGAGGGGGAACTTGTGGGCACTGGCTAGAAAGCGTCTCGCTAACAGGGTCATCGGCCTGGTGGGTGGCGCACGGGAATAGACGAAGAAACAACTGCATAAACAGAAACTTTTGGCGCTCCGCGCAAATGTCTTGAATCCGCGCTGGGCCCCCCAGCTGCGCCTCCGGCGCCGCCCCTGGCGCGCTCCGCGCGCCAGGGAGGAGGGCCCAGCGCGGATCAAAGAAACCCGCGCGGAGGGCCAAAAGTTTATGTTTATGCCGTTGTTTTTTCTTCTTCGAGGGAGCCATCTCGGCCACCACGAGCCCCAGGAAGAAGCGACACCAAACTCGGGAGACCGACCCCGAGAGAAGATGCACGCAAATGAGTCCAGGGCGAAGCCCGTGGACGGGAGCAGGCCCTTGTAGGAGTCCTATGAATTTCCGGAGGAACCCTATAGAGTTCCCAGGGAAACCTATGGATTTCCTGAGGACCCCTGCAGAGGTCCTAAGGCATCCCATGGGTTTCCTAAGGGATCCGATGGATTTCCCAAGGAATCCGATTGATTACCTAAAGACTCCTATGGATGTCCTCAGGATCCCTATAGATTTGCTAAGGACTCCTGTGGATCTCCTGAGGAATCCTTTGGATAGCGCGGCCGCGGGTTACCACGGGAGCCCAACCGCAGACGTCTAGCAGGGCCCCCCAGGACCCCACGGGGAAGGGACGAAGCCAGCGCGCACGGTGCAACACACACACATCCCACCAACCTAGAAGCAAAACGCGAACGCGATCAGCAGCCTCCTGGAGCACCGCAGCCCCCGTGCCCATGGAAAGGGGAGGCGGGGAGAGGCTCAGGAGGCCGCGGCCTCGGCGTGGATGGCCTGGGCGCGGGGGCTGAGCGCCATGACACGACTGAGCCAGTGTGCTGGCGACTCGGGCTCCTGTAGAACATGTCCTGCACCTGGCCTCTGTGGAGTCCTGGAGCGGTGCGGTGACAGACCGTGCGGTGACCTCGAACCCCCCAAAGACCTCACCGCACGGCCCGTCGACGCACGGGTTTGGGACCTCGGAGCGAGACGTCCTCGGAGGACGACCCGAGCTCCAGAACCGTGCGGTGACCCTGCATCCCCACCGACCCGCCGCACGGTGTCGTCACCACCCCGTTTAGGGGGCCCCCGAGCCTCGCCAGAGGCGTGGCCGTTCCACCAGGCCCCAGGACGGCCGAAGACTGCTCGGGCGGAGGCGCGGGTCCCCGGCAGGGGGCCCGCACCTCCAGGGAGTCCACGCTCCTGTCCGGTGGTCCTCAGTACCAATGCTGGCGCCAAGGTGCGCTGGTCCGCCGAGGCCCTCCAGCACGTGGTGGGCGGCGTAGCGAGGGACCGACACAGGCTGCATGCTACCAGCGGAGCTCAGCGGGGTGAAACACACATGGGGCTACCACGCGCCCTGAGGATCATCGACCCTTCAGGTATTCCATCCCCCCCCCGTGAGCGTTCCCTCGCGCCCCCAAGTTGGCGGCCACTCAAGCACGAAACAGCCGCGAGCAAGGATCCCCCTTAAAGCGTTTCTTTTTTGTGAAGGCGGCCAGGCACTTGATGGGCACCCTCACTGCCTCCCTGGTTACCTCGTTCGATTTCGCTCCCACCTTTACAACAGCCCCTAGCTCCTGTCGCTCCAGCCGCTGCAATGCAGGGCTCAGGTTGGCAACCTCGCGCGCGATCTCGCGGACTGGATTCAGCAAAGAAGCGAGGTCGGCGTCGTTTGCAGTTGCCGACCGTTGCAGCGTGTCCAACCCAGGTCTCAGAACGCTGATATCGCGCGCAATATCCTGGACTGACTCCAACAATGGACAGAGAGCCGTCTCTATTCCTGTGCCAAAGAGATTGTCTAATCCAAGCTTGATGACGCCGATATCACGCGACATCTCCTGGGCGGAATCCAATACTGGAGAAAGATCCACCTGAACATCCAAGTTCTGCAGCTGGATCAACACAGGCCTTACGCCACTGACCTCACACGCGATATCCTGTACAGACGCCAACACCTGAGAGAGATTCACCGCCGCCTCTAGGGAGAGAACACTGCTTCCTGTACACATAAGCTTCTGGAGGTCCACGCGGAGTTCTTTCGACCTGCGCTGCACCCCCCTTCCTGGCGCGCGGA